TTTTATTCAAAATTTCTTGCAACGAACCTTGGAGAGACTGAGTTATACCTCGCCCAAGAAAACTCGTTACAATACAAATAATATAAAAGCCACCCGTTTGTCCGTTCTTTGACAAGCCAAAGAATTTATAAGACCATTATTAAGAACGTAGTTCCGTAATCAAAAATTTCACGAAGGGGCACATTTTGCGGATAACACGTGGTTATTTGTAAAGAAAATCCCTATATATGATTAAGTTCCCTATGGATGGATTGATATCATTTCTATAATCTGAATGAAAAGTTTATTTAGATTCTGTAAAAACCGGACTAGTTCATTAGCTTTTGGCAAGAGATAAAATGTTATGATGTTTAAATTTTTCGATCCGCAGATTTTAGCTAAAGTATTTGTCAAAACTCGCTTTACTTGGCAGCTCTCAAAATGTATCGAGCCTAAAAGTGGTTTTCTGTTTCAATTTAACAAATAATTTTTGCAGGAACAGGTTTGAAAAAAAAACGATAAACCTCTCAATCTTTCCTGGTGCACGTAATGATAAGGCCAAATCAATTACACAGAAGAGCTTTAAATATGTGCCTAACGTAAATCCACTCTATTCGCCCCAACTGATATATTACGCATTCCGCAAGAAAAAGTACAAAAAAAAGGTTGAAACAATTGTCTACGGGTTATGAGCCAATAAATGCAGACAACAAAGTAACTACCTTGTATATGTAAAATGAAAAGTTAAAGAATGTAAACTCGCGTCATAATTTAAAGAAATAATTTATAAAATCGAGTCATAATTTTGAATATATAAAAATTTGTTTTAATTTCTTTTAACGCAGTCAAATGAGTGAAGATGAGTGATTAATTCTCGCGAAAATCCTTATTTTAACATAAAATAACTAACTGTATGTGATCTTAAATTTTTATACCAATATAGAATGGCGGTATACTACTGCATAGCCACTTTTGCCGAGAAATTTTGGAAAGTACAATTTTTTTCTATATAGCGACATTTTAGAACTGGGCGTTATATGTGGAGTGGTTGAAAAAGCGGACTGATCCGAACCATTTTCCATAGCATTAGTCCTTGGGCCAAAACACGCCACTATACCAAATTTCATCAAAATATCTCAAAAATTGCGAGTAATTAATAGTCGGCTTTGCCCGACTATAATGTTCTTTCTTGTTTTTTTATACTTTTACATTATTTTAGTGCTCAATTTGATGCGCAGTTGAATAATTGCAATATTTCTTTTTATACCCGTCACCGAAGGAAGAGAGTGGTTCAAAACAATTGCAACGAAGGAAGCATCAGAGACCCCTCAAAGTATATATATATATATTCGCGATCAGCATCAAATTCTAAATGGATTTAAAGATGTCCGTCCATTTTTGTGTGTAATGTCTGTTGTAAACATTCTCCTGGCCGCAAAAATGAAGCTATCGACTTCAAATTTGCCAGAAACTTTGAATGTTCTTGCGCACAGGTTGGCATTGAAAATGGGCCAAATCTGTCGAAGGGCACGCCCACACGTAAACTGAGAATACCTCTGTTTTTCAGAGGGAATGAAGAATTGGTTTTTTGCTCATTACTCACTCATAAACTATAGAAAATAAATGTGCAAAAAATTGAACGCATATTCTATGGGCGATAACGTAGCAAAAAAAATTAGAAATTTGACCACGTCTACGCAATATTTTAGTGTAACAAAATTTAATTGCTTTTTCAATAACTTTATAACGCGCAGAAACAAGCTTAAAAAATTCTATAAACCTTATAAATTCTTGGCCAATTTTAAACTTGGAGCACACCTAAACATGTGCGCCTATTCGTCTGCCCATTTGGCTGTTTTCGCAACTTTGTAGTATTGTGTGGTAGACATACTCCCGTTAGTGGAAATTAAGATATCGCCTACAAATTTGCAAAGCAATTCGAAATTGATCTAAACGTTTCAAAGGACACGCCCACACTGCCCACATACGAAAAAAACTTTTATTTTGAAAATAGAAAAAATCAGCGCATCATCACTCCACCTTATAGAGCGTGTAAATTTTGTTCTTTTACTTCTTTTGTCTTTTTCAGAATAACGGTGATGGTGATAAAAGATTCCCGGTCCCGACCCAAATTAATTTTCTTATTTGTTTATGCATTTATTTTTTTCCTTAAATTATAAATGCTTTCAATATTTTAAGGCTTTTACACTTACGTACCTTCAAGCTCTCACTGCTTACAGGTTTTCGATTGCCGAAACCATTCTCCCATAATGACTATCCTCCATATTCAATTACTTAGTCCATTCAAGGCATCGCTTTGAATATTTTATGCCAAGCACTCGCGAGAGTTGGAACGCATTAAACATGTAGCAGACAGAATAATAGAGTGAGAACATAATATGTATGATAAGTATGATAATGATGAAAAGAGCTTTGCATCAATCATACATTTCCGAAGAAACCATTGCTAAAATAAAAAAAAGAAATTCTTTGTACAGAAAGCGTTCCCAAATCATCAAAAATGGGGAGTGTATGGCAAGGCTTGGTCAGACGTTACAAGACACACTGTTACAGCCCAAATGCAAAGTTCTGCCACACCCAACGTACTGACCAGACCACGCGGTTTCTGATCGCCATTTGTTCCGATCGATGCAGCATTGCGTGGCTGACACGCGGTTTCGAAATGCTGAACAAGTACGAAAATGGGTCGACGATTGGACCGCTGCCAAAGCAATATTTTTCTTTTTCCACGGTATCGCCACATTGTCGGAAAGATGGTAAAAAGTTGTAAAAAATAAAGGAAAATAATTCAATATTACAGAAGTTGATATATACACATAGATGCTTACAATATGTAGAACTTTTTACTTATAATAGTCAATAAAACAAAGGTTACTATTAAAATGTATAACCCGATCTATACCTATGTTTATATGTATGTAAAATTCAAGAAATATGTTTCGAATATCAATTCAAATGCTAAGAAAAAGTTTGTTTGTTAAAGAACAATCATCAATATATCAATCTTCACATAGGGCCTGCGCAGGGATTTATTGTTTTTCGAGAGATAAATTAGAAAAAAAAAATTTACAGACTGACCAAACATAACGAAGAATAAGTCCGGCGGTTCAGGAAGCAGAGGAGAAGCCACCTAACAAAAGTAAAAGATTGTCCAAAAGAAAAAATATATATATATCGCGATAATAACGATAGTAAGAGTAATGATTATATACTCTGTTAATTCGTAAATTATAGAACAGTTTCAATGACTGTGAACGCAATGTACACGAAATAGAGTTTTAAATTTTCGACAAGAACAAAAATGTGAAATAACAAAAAGAAAATTCGGGAATATTAAAATAAGAAAAGATGTTACAAAAAGGCACAAACAAAGTCCCGATAAGGGAAATTGTATTAAAAAAAAAGAATAATTTCTTGAAAGTGAGAAAAAAAGGAAATGATAACTCGCCTATGGAAAAATTATCCGGATGGATATACGAAAAGGAGACAGCGAAGGAAATCTTTTTTTATGTGTTTCAATAGCGTAACGTAAAACGTGTAAAAATAACCGCCCAAGAAAAACATTTTACGTTGATATTTACGCATGGAGTGCTTAAAAATTGTAAAGAAAAACCAAGCTAGTTTAAACTTTTGCCATAAGAAAGCGTTGTAAACAAAATACCGCAAGATGTGCACATAAATGCGCTAATGAAACTCATATGCAAAACCGTAGAAGATTGTTGATGGAATAACAAGAAAAATATATGAACATTCGATTAAAAGATGTCAAACAGCGACGATCGACGTCCTGAAGGAAAGTTCTAGTTTTGTTAAAAAAGTAAAATATTTTGAGGACACAAAGTCGTTCCTCGTTTTGGCCTCACGGGTTCTCCGTCTCTGGTGGGGGAGAGAGGAGTGCTAGGGAGTAAGGTAGCATAAGATAGGTTAGGCATAGCGTAAGAATAGGATAGGTATAGGATAATAATAGATTAAGATAGGATAGTAATAGATTAGGAATAGATTAAGAATAGAATAGGCTAATGTTAGTTAGTTAGACAGTCGAGCTTTGGGCTCCGACTGAGAGTGTCGACGCTAGATACTCGATGAGAGTGTTTCGTTTTCTCTAGTAAAGTCAAGTGTAACCGAAACAAAGAATTTATTGAAATAAAGAGTCTCTGCAAAATTAAAATATTCTTGCGTTATTTTCCCCGAATTCCCTGGGCCCCTGAGCTGCCCCAGCCTTTGAGGAAAGGGACGGAACCGTCCTCGCAAGTGGCGCCCGAGCAGGGACTCTTTATTATTTTCAAAAAAGAACGCGAGTGAAAATTAGTGGAAAAAAAAGAGAAAAAAACAGCAATTCAACAGAGACAAAAGTTTTATGTGCAAAACACACAACAAACAAACCACAAACAATGGAACAAAAAAAAAAGACAAGAAAATTCATACAAAAAAAAGGGGAACAATGTCTTAAATAAATTCTAGCATAATCGCGCACAACTCCAAAAATTAAGTGAAAAAAAAAAACGGAAAAACCTTAGATATGAAGACTATATGGTCAAAGCAAAGAAAACACAAACAATAAACTCTCCGATTATCGTACTGAATAAGGCATGAAATGCACTTTAAATAAAGTGCATGCAAAAACACCTAAAAACGAACACACAACAACAACGCCGGGCATTTAGAAGCCCATAACAATTCACATAAAACCAACTACCGCGATGTCATCCCCGCGAAACCGTCACCCGGCGAAAAGAGAAGAAAAAAACAGAGAAATCCGCGGCGAATTGGGCGATCGCCAGAATAGCGTTGTTGCAGAAAAGTAGGTAGTCGAGAACAAGTGGATAAACTACGCGTGTCGCCTGCGGGCCGGAAAAAATAAAAGTATACAAAGTACAAATGAGTGGGAGAACAAAAAAAAAACATCAAAAGTGAAAACCAATTACAAACAATTTGAACTTGATAAACAAGAAAACAGAAAACATCTACAAAAGTGAAAATAAATTACAAACGATTTTAACTTACAAAAAAGAAAAGAAAAATCCAATAAAACTATCAAAAGATACAGTACAAAGGTAAAGTGTTAGCAAAATTATATTCAGAATAAAAGAATACAAAAGAAAACGGAGATAAACTACCACAGCGTTAAGGTCAAGTGAAAGTCAAAAAAAAAGGAAAAATTAAAATACCAAAGAATATCTTAAATAAATTTCACATAATATTGCAAAGCCCGTGGAAAAGAATATAAACGTAAACAGCCATAATACTTGGCAAATAATGTCTATATAAAATTGAAAGAACTGAAACTGAGTGAAGAAGAAAACTTGATGTGTTTGTAAAACGTAGGTAATGAGAAGTACAGACGAAAGTGTGACGTGAGAAGCAAAGGGTCATTAGCAATTGCGTGTGTTTGTGAGTGCGTGCAAACAAAGTTGCGAGTTTGCACATACAAAAGAAGCACTTTTACATAAACAAAAATAGAGAATTTACTCAAAACGCACAACATGTTGCGCATAAAGGTTAACACAAAATTGTAAAAATTAATGAAAACAAACTTACCGAAATTAAACCTATAATTAAACAATTGAAAAAAAAGAAAATAATCACGTAAAACCAGGGGCAAATGAAGGTCAAGCCAGACCACAAAACGACAACAATTCTTGTTCTTCCCTAACATAATTACTGATCGAAGAGGAAGCATTAATAAAGGGATATATGAGAGCATGGGTAACGTATACTGGTAGTTAAGATTGAGAAGAGAAAATCGAGAAATCCAACAAGACATCGAGGGTTGCAACACAAAGTGCCAAGTGGAAAATATCTTTTTTAGCCTCCTATGTTCTCGGAACGCTATGAAAGTTGAAATGCTTTGCTAAAAAAAAAATATAATAATAACCAGAAAAAAAAGGGAGAGAAAAAACAAAATATGAGTGCAGTTCGTTATGTATCATATGTAAGTAATAATGTGCCCTGTTTGCTAACGACGTCATTAGCACATTTCTACCAAAGCAAATAAAACGAAGGACAAGCCAAGGTTAAATACATCCACCAAAAGAGAACAGAATAAAACAAAGGAGAAGTTATCGGGAACAAAAACACAACACAAACTTTAATCAATAACAAAAACAAGAACTCGTAGAAGCATTTCATTTGTTTCAGGTGCCTAAGCCAACAGCAGCAACACCCTCATCAGCTCCATTATCATTCTGTTCACCAACAACGGCCGCAATAGCAAGGGAAAGTACAATAGCAGGCAAGTCCGTTGTACTCATCCGACAACTGCCAACCAACCTTCAGCGTGTCTTCACTCACAACAACAACCTCAAGAACCTTCTCAAGCAGCAGGACAACAAAACTAATGACCTCACCACACACCAGGGTAACAATCAGCGCAACTACAACAACAATCGCAATAACAGCAGCAAAAGCAACGACAATTTCTCCAACATCAAGGACAAAACCCCAGCAACAGGTACCCCCACAGTTACAACAGGGTAGGAGTCCATGTCAGTAAGCAGTTTATATATTACTAGTTCGAACGGAATATAAATCAGTGCACTTGAGCACAGAATGTAGGTTTCACCACGGCCACCAAACCCCTAAACAGGCGACTCAATTGAAAAAAAAAACAACCGAATATTGATTGAACAACATAATTCCAAGCTATCGCGAAGGTCGAAATTACAAAGTGAAAAGTGAAGAAAAAAATACAAATTGACCACATTTATGATAGCGGGGTAATTCGTCACGAAAGTAAACTATCGTCGACAAAAGCAATAACTCAGATGAAGATCGAAAGATAAATAAATCTATTTTATAGATAGCTTCGTATTTTCCCCATTGATTCGACCTAGTGATATAAAACTTAGGCTTTCCCCGCTCTAATTAGAAGCAAACATAATCGAGAAATAGAGAAGTAAAGCAATTCCGTACTCGGAACGTTTCATAACGCTGGGAAAGGAAGTCAGAGATTTATGGTACCGATTGAATAAGGCTACAAATCAAACTAATTGAAAAGGCAGATATAAAAGAAAACCCCAAGTTAACGAATGTGAAAACACAAAATTGCTTTGCGCAAGACCTCAACACATCCCCGACATTCTTCCATAACACTTATCGATCTTTTATAATCTCTCTCTTGATAATCAGATCAACTTCGCCATAATAATTAAGTAAAGCAAATATAACTTAAATTCAAAGCATTATATATGGAGGTTAAGCTACTAACCTCTAGAAATTGTACGGGCCAAAAAATAATAAGAAAAGACAAGTAAACGAAAAACAAAAAAAAAAAACAAGGGAAGGTCGTGTAAAATGCATGTGTAAAATAAACGAGAAAACAGGAGATCGAAATCAAATATAAGCAAAATTAACGATTTTGAAAATCACACAATTGCATTATACAAGACTTTGCTACACCCTCTTCAGTTTGTTATCACGCCTATCCATATTTTTGTAATATCCCCCGATTATCAGAGTAAGCTTGTCATAGCATTTAGGAAGAGGAAAACTAAAAATTAACGATCGATAGCGAAGCACTTTTCCCTTTCAATAAAAACTAAATCATACCAACCCAACAATATAAACTTAGAAAATAACATCGCATAATTTTCTTGTGAAAGAATCTTCGGTTACAAATCCTAGGAAATGTAATGGGCGAACGGCCTGCATTTCTATATTAGAAGGTTTCGTATAGACCAAAAGTTTCACGTAACCCTGAACTTACTCCCCTTAAAATAGATCTCGACCACCTCCGAAAATCTGTAGACATCTTCTAAAAGCTCCGCTGTTCGGTGGGTATCAGC